TGATAGTTGTTGAGACTAATTTATATGTTAAAAAAATTTGGGGACATTTTCATTAACTGTTATGATTGCAGATATTAATTTGTTGCCATTTTTAAAACAGTCAACTCTTCTCCCAAATTGAATTGCTTTTAATAAAGAAAATAAAAAACGAAAAAAAATTAACAGTAACGAAAATTGGCGGGAAATGACAGCTAAGTATAATTTATGAGGTTTTCTTAAATGCTCATGAGCCAGCAATTTTATATATATAGATTCGCCGGTTAAAATGATCCCGCCCACCCCCTCGGATAAAATAATCCCGCCCCTAGATTACACATCTTGCCCTCAGGCTTGGTTGTGAAAAGACTCAAATAGCCGTAATTTTACATGAGTTTACAAAGTTATACCATATAAAGGCTGAAAATGGGCCATTTTTGCTAGTTTCTGCAGAGACGAGCATGACCATTGTTGTGAATGAAGGAGCTTCGAAATTATCGTCGGGCCAGAAGGTAAGCTCGAAATTGCCATATTTGAGTTTTCCATTCCTGAAATATGCAACCATAGTTAATTTATGTCGATTAATCAGATTCGTGGATTGGTAATTCGAATTTTTTGTTTTTTTTGTTTTTGTAATTTTGTTTCTCTCTAAATAAACCGTAATTTTTGGAGGTCACGGGGCGTCGTTCACCTCGGATTTCAGTCACCGTATATGTAAACCCTTTTATATTCCAATTACCCAACAATTGCTTTTTTCCAGCCGAGTTTAGTAGTTTTAAAATGTTCAAGTATCAGTTTAAGAGCATGCTTAAGATGAGTATGTTTATGTGCTATTGATTCGAGTATCATTGCCTTAATCTCTGAGCTTGTTCTTGAGTTTTTAGTTGCTGAAAGTGAGTCCTTTCTGAGCCTCAATTCAACTTTTAATTAGCCTTAGCATGAGAATTGTTGACTGAGAAAAAATAATGAAGAAGTAAAAGCATGTTCTGCTATATTTATTGGTTTTGTTTTAACCACTGTTGTTGTGACCTGCTATGCATTCTTGTTGTTCTATGTATATTTATAGAGGTCTTGTTTCAATTCTTAGGTGACCTTCATGTGTTGCCTGAATTGGGATTTTGTGGCCTAAGTAAAAAGAAAGAAAAAGGGGTATTTTATGCTATGTTTTGTTGAGTTTATTGTTGAGCTTTATGGTGACTTCTAGCATGCTGAAATTGTCTATTTTGATAGCTTATATTTCGATTTTAAAGCCTCGGGTCATGTGGTAAAATGATTTGAAAAGAGAAAGAGATTAGAGGCATGTATGTATGATTTTGATCATGAGATTGCTTAAGGTGTTGTAGCTCAATGTTAAGGTGTGTATGCTGAAATGGGCATTAGCATGAGAATTGTTGATTGTGGAATGAATGAAGAAGTGAAGGCATGTGATGAGAATATTTGTTGGTCTTGTTTTATCCACTGTTGTTGTGACCTGCTATGCATTATTGTTGTTATATGTGTGTTTTAGAAGTCTTTTTCAGTTCTTAGGTGACCTTCATGTGTTGCTTGAATTGAGATTTTGTGGCCTAAGTAAAGAGAAAGAAAAATGGGTGTTTTATGCCATGTTTTGTTGAGTTAATTATCGAGCTTTATGGTGACTGTTAGCATGTTGAAACTGTCTATTTTGATAGCTTACATCTCAGTTTTAAGGTCTTGGTTGATGTGGTTTAATGATTTAGAAAAAAAAAAGAAAGAGATTAGAGTCATATATGTATGATTATTTTGATCATGAGATTGCTTAAGTTGATGTAGCTCAATGTTAAAGTTTGTATGCTGAAATAGGCCTTAGCATGAGAATTGTTGATTGAGAAAATGCATGAACAAGTGAAGGCATGTAGTGAGAATGTTTGTTGGTCTTGTTTTACCCACTGTTGTTGTGACCTACTATGCATTCTTGCCATTATATGTGTGTTTTTAGAGGTATTGTTTCAGTTCTTAGGTGACCTTCATGTATTGCTTGAATTGGGATTTCAGTTCTAAGATGTCCTTAATGCAACTTGAATGCTACTGTTTCATCTCTCAATTTTCATCACTCAAGTTTCATCACAATTTGTGAAGTACATGTGAAGTACATTTCTCGTTCCAACTTTGTAGATGGATCATGTTTGGCAAGATTTACAATTTCTTACCATTTTGGAAGAGGTCGTTCTTGTGGCACAATTTTTTTTTTTCATAGTGGCTAATTACTAGTACAACAAATTCATACATCCTCGACAGCGTCGACGTTCATATAATAAGCGACTCACCTACTGATTGAGGGATAGAACACCCCTTCAAGTGAATGGCATGCAAAGGCTGGTTGATGTGAGTGACACCACTTGCGTGGAGAACCTCCGTATGGGTAGAAACTGCTTTGGTCGTATAGCGCCCCCAAATCATCTTAAAGAGCATAATGAATTCCATGCATTTTTATTTTATTGTTAAGCTCGACATTTTAATTTTATTAAATGGAAATGAAGTGGATGTCCTCGTCCATTTAATTTTATCTATTTATAAAAGGAGATTAATTAGATGACCCTATCTATTTAATAGTCTCAACTGTAATTTGTTCTAGGAAAAGGGAGTGCAATAATATTATGTTAGTGGACCGTAATATTATTTAAGTAATTGGAGGAGTGGGCCTGACCCACAGTTAGTTCGTTCGTTACTTAAGAAGCCCTATTCCTATTCTCCTAAGGGTCCCGACTATAGCTCTATATATACATCATTAGGCTCTGGTAACACAAAACTTCCCGACCGGCTGGAACTTGAGTGATCGCCTTCCTTCTCGTCGGTTGAACATCGTGCACC